TAAAAGATTTTTCTGACGTGGTATGATCCACAACCAGTGTATCTCATTGGGTTTTTGTGATGTGCAATTTTGGCTACCATGTGGTGTAGCAGCTACTGTTAGGAAAAGGCCACTAATTGAATATCTCCAGAGTGCACTAGCTAGTTCAGAAGGTTATTATCCGTTCAATATTACTGTCGTGCGTTGGTGGCACATCGGTAAAATGCTCGTGAAGCAAACAGGTAGTTTGGGTTTCTATTCCCGGCCGCCAGCGCACTCCTCTACCTCTCTAAGCCAGTGATAAGACTGGTAAAGCGGGAAGGTTTGGCATGAAGCTAGCAACCCCCTTCCATAAAAATGAACATCACTGCTGCCGAAACTTCAAGCCTTTAGCTTGAAGCCCAATGTTTCACTGGGAACGTAAAGGAATAAAAAAAGTATTACTGTAGTATACAGCCATTCCTGTCTACAAAGCGTTATTTAATCAAAGTCAAGGTTTTCCTAATCAGTAGTGTTATCTATAGCTCTATTCGAATATATATATATATATATATATACATTAGAAACTCTCAGTCCCTGTTGGCATTTTGTATTAAGACTGCTGATAAACCGTATGGATAACCAGTAGCATGGATGAAAGTTAAGTTGGACTGATTATTATTATTTATTGTTCCCTTGGCTTCCCTTGCGAGTGTAACATAGGAGGGCTTTAACAACATATCTCCACTTTCTTCTATTTCCTGCCGTTCTCTTCAGCTGGGTCCCCGATTGACCATAATCTCTCATCTCTTCAACACATGATCTGCATGTCACTCTCTCACCGACGACCAACTCATCACCTTCCATTTGGATCCCACCTAAACACTAACCTGCGTTGCTCATGATGTCTTAGACGGTCTCCTCAATATATGCCCAATCCATCTCCATTTTCTCCTACATATTTATCGGGCGGTCGGCTCTTCGTTGGTTTGTTTACAGAGAGAGTTTCTTGTTAACAATTGTTTCTGGCTAGCCGGCTGACCATTTGACCTTCAGTAAGGAGCCAGTCAGTGAAGGTGGTCGCTGTTGATGAAAGTCTGCAGTGGCCTGTTGGAAATCCTTTTCTTGACACTTTGGTCAAGTTTCCGACCCGTAGAAAAGAACTGACTTCTTATTGGTGTTGAAAATGCAAATCTTGTTTCTTATGCTGAGTGCACTGCGGAAGATTTCCAAACTGGTTTCAAGTTGATGAAGGCGTGCGTATCTTGCCTTTCCGATTCTGGCTGACCAGCTTTGACATCTTCATCCGTTCCGACTGCTTGTATTTGAAATGTTGCTTTCTAGACAAGTCAAAGAGGTAACCTCTGCTAGACTGAACTTACTATTGATTGCTGACTACGCTTTATAAACACAGTCACAGAAAATGCACCTTAAGCATAAATTGTCTTTTATCTAGTTATTCTATAATCCTCATGTGTTACTTTAATGGAGGGTGGAGTTGAATAATAGATGTCGCCATAAAGCGACACTAACTGAAAAACTACTGAAAGTCAGGACTGGATAGATGAACAGCTAGTTGGGATATCCTCCACCATCCTGCTTCCTAATAGTACCTAAGATCAAACATTAGACCTTTAGGTTATGTGATGTGTGTACATTACCCTTCAATTGATGCGATAAAAGCCACCAGTTAATGAATTCTAACTTCTCTCAGTCCATCGTGTAGATCCTTCGTGAATATGTATGACAGGGAAGATTTGTAGCTTATTTGGATATAATTGGTGTTGTTCTATCCTATGAGTGAACTGTACACCTGACTTAGTGGACTGTATAGTGTTCTTTAAGATTAGTAACAGAAAAAACCTCAGAGTTTAATGGACATTTGAGAGCACAAGTTTTAAGTCATACGATCAATAGTTTCATGCTGTTAGTCCTCAGAATCCTAAAGATCTCAACCAACCAGTCTACACCTCCTTACGTGACTGAATGAAAACAGAAGTTGAATAATTCATGGACTGATGTCAGGTTGTGGTTCAACCACCCCTGACTCTTTTTCCACCCTACTGTGATATGTGTTACTGACAAGATTTATCAGTAGTATATAAAGAGACGTTAATCGGTATAAAAAAATTCAAATAGTGGAGTGATAAATTTGACGTCAACGAGATCAGGTGAGCCAGTATTCCCATAAAATATTGCAGACACGAAAAGAAGACAAAGAAAAGCAATACGAAGGGCAGAAGTAGCACAACTCAAGAAATCTGTGCAAATGACGACTTTCATATAAGGGGTGGTGTGTACATAATCTCCCTATAAAGACAAATCAAACACCAAATAAACATTCCTTTACTAAGTCGCTTGTCGTATATCGTTACACTACTCCATGTCGACGATTCATCGGTATGCGAGATATGTATCCTATCTACCTCAGTTGATGCAGCACTCATAACCCAGGCTGATCAAGCACTCTATGCGTCAGCTCAATATTTCTCACCATACTATGCCCTTTAACACCAGAGATAGAACCCGAATATCTCTGTGTTATGACTGGAACTGCAACCTCGTAGAATATGAGCGAATACTAACTTAGTATGCTGGATAATCTCTTCTAAATCGCACGTCAACGACACCGCACGCAAAGACAAAAGAAAAGACTGAACGTCGTAAAGGCAGCTTTTACTGTCTCAGACAACAGTCAAAATGCTACACAGAAACTCCGAATATATACAGTTCAAATGACCTTGAAAATGCAGCTGTTCATTGGTGCATTAAAAGTATTAACAGCCAATAGGAATCCAGCAGTCCAAACAGAGGGAAATACAAGGAGTTCACGCCATTGCACGATAACTCCTTAAAATAGTTATTTTCAGGTTTTAGGGGAAATTAGATAAAATTAGGTGTATATTACACTGTGGTCAGAGACAACAAGACTTTTCATATTTTCCAATTGCAATCGTCATATCAATTGAAGAAAGAGAAATACTGAGCATTACACACCTGCTTTGATTGACAGCGAGATACCACGTGAGTTGGTGAATGTTACACGAGCCACTTTCTATTTGTGTCTTCGATTTCATCATCAATCAGCCGTACATTAGAGCTGATGCAAATAACTAAATACGTGAAATAGTGTGCAACGCGCTCTACGACTTCACATTTTACTTCAACAGTATTGTAGCATTATACGACATTTGATATGAGTGAAATGCATGCTGAAACATTAGAGTTATTATTATTATTGTTATCTTTAATTCCTAGAGGAACATAGGGCTTCAGCCGCACGTCACTATTGCGTTCGGTTCTCTGCCAACGTCTTCACCTGGCTCTACGTCTGTCGAAATGATTTCACCTCCTCCATGTCACCCTCACACTGAGGACAACTCGCTGCTTCTCAGTCGTGTCTCACACGAGAAAAAGAGCCTAGCGTGTGGTGTCACTCACTTGATGGTTTGTTTTCTCAAAGTATGGTCAATCCATCTCCATTTATTCTGCTGAGTCGGTTAGCCCCAGGGATACCTTCCTACTGCTTATCTTTCCTGGCGTCGGTGGCACAGTGGTTAGGACTCTCGCCGACCATGCACATGGTCCGGGGTTCGATCCCCTGCCGGCGCACACCCGATATCTATGGTCGGCCTGAATTTGGGCTACCGATATCCATGCTGAAAATTCCAGACTTGTACTGAAAATACGGTGTGGAATCAAGCTGTAAATCAAAATCAAAATAAAAATAAAAAATAACTGGAGTACTTCTGAGTGAAGTTCTGATCTGATTTTCATTTTCATGCTGAGTGCTGTTGATTTCCACAAAGACTTGAGAGTAATGAAAGCTTGACTTGATTTCCCGATCCCCGCTTTGATATTCTCATCAGATACGCCAACCTGTATTTGAAACAATGATCCCAAGTAGGTGCTAGAGGAGAATGCTTCTTTCAGATTCCTCCCATTTATGCTAGCTGACTGTTGTCTGTTGCTGTTAGCCAGGAATCTCCATCACCTCTGTTTTCTCTATGCTCACCTAAGGAAAGTCTTATCTTCACTGGATGCTTCTTCTGTCAACTTGTTGCTGTTCACTTGCATTTCTTCCAGTTTGTGGGAAATCAGACATATATCATCTTCAGCGAAAACGTGAGAGTTATTAAGTGCCAAAAAAGTACTAGAATAAAGGAACTCAGACATTCCTGTAAGTGAGGTGAGACAGGAACTCACTGAAGAAGACATTGTGAAGTGGTCACACTATATCATGAATTCACAGAATTTAGAAATCTTGCACTGGCCACTGGATCGGGAGCCAGTAGCCTAACTGTCTACGAGCTCGCTGGTATTGTAACCAAATGGTCCTGGGTTTAAAGAAGTCTCGGTGTGTGCGTACTGATGAAGAGTCCAAAACTAGGCCGACGAAACAGCCGTCAGACAGTACTCCCTGGCTGCTTTTCCAATGGTTCTCTAGGTGATGTCAGCTCATGATGAAATCCTCCAACCAATCAAACAAAATCCCTACAAAAATGCCAATACTTGAAAGGTATTTATTTACTTCAAAATTCAAATTTCAATTTTTAAAAAAGGGAGAGACAGAAATAGCAAAGAAACAGAAAATCAAATAGTTAAGGGAAATAGCTAATTAAATCATACCATATTATGTATATGAATAGAGAAAGATTATTACAGTCTTATCATGCAAAATAAAAGAGCAGTTTAATTTTGATTACAGTAGGTTGATTCATTTTTCAGTAGAAAAGAGATCAAGAAACAATCAGAAAAGAGGGAGAAACAGAGAAAAAAGGAGAAAAATATCTGATTTCGAATAAATGCATATTTACTAGAGACTTCCCCATTCACATATGACTGATTTGTAACACTGTTTCGTACAATTTAAAAATATTTTAAGATAGCTTTTACACTACTGAATTATTAAGTAAGTAGCTTAAATTTATAAGCGAAATATTTGGAGTAAGGCTAGATGTTATCATTTTAATATTCAGATGTTTTAATTCTCATTCAAATGCTCAAGATTTCGGGGTCGACAAAAATTATGGTGGTGTTTATTATCCTGAATTTTGTTGTTGCTGTTGGGCACATTTCATTCCAGTTAACAAACGATCTGATAAGGCGAAATATCCTGATTTACGTCGATAAACTAAAATTGGTTTATGCTTGCCGAGATCTTGATTTTTACCAGTGACCTCTGTGCTTATTGGATTTTCAGTTGATGGATTCACCGGTTGGTGTTTTTGTGTTTGTGTTTGTTGACTGTTTGATCCACACATTATCCACCATGCAGGACGTGATTTACTAGACTTACGAATACGTTGCATTGTTGTCTGCTGTGAACGTGATTCACCACATGAACTGCTAGTTGTTGTTGATTCAGAACGTGAACTGATAGAGGCATGACTCTTGAATGGGTGAGATTCATTATCTTTGATTGAATTCAATGTGCCTGTTTGTGAACGTGATGGTGTTGTGGTTGTTGTTGTTGCTATTGTCGTTTGGGTGGTAATGGTGGTGTCTGGAAGCGTGTGTACTGAATGTAGGATATCTGAAGTTGTATTTGTAAATTCAGCCATGTGTAATTCATCTTCCAGTTGGATTTCTTGAAGAAAGACAAGGAAAACAGATAAGAAATTAAAGAAATCAATATATGCGTATGGCGACTTCGGAGTCACCAAGACTCGTCAAGGTTATTTCATTTTATTCCTTTACGTTCTCAGTGCAACAAAGAGCTTCAAACTAGAGTTTCTCAAGTTTCTGTAGCAGTGGTGGTTGTTTTTACAAAATGCGGTTGCTAGCCTCATGCCAAACCTTCCCTCTTTACCAGTCTTATAACCGGTTTATCGAGGTGAAGGAGTGAGTCGGGTCGGGATCGAACCCTGAACCACCTGCGTGGTCGGCGTGCACTCTACCGCTGTGCCAGTGACACACATCAAGGCTATTTGAATAATCAAATATGCAATATTTAGATACACACAATTTGAAATGAGAAATCCCAACCTTGAATATTCAGATCCTGATATGTTAACCTGCTTGATGCCGTAAATGCCGGTCACTGACCAACTGGTTGATTGATTGATATGAATGGTTAGAAACTGTTGACGTCAAGCACTACTGTTAGCTAATCATATCGATGTGATCGCAATGAGTATAACAGCTATTTAGTGTTCTTAAGATCACTTCTGTCTGGTGTGAGTGCTGCTCAATTAGTCATGTCCATCAGTAGTATATTACGTCAGTTTAATTAGTAAATCATTGAAAACCGGAGAGTTTGGATCCATTCGGCAGTATGCACTCATTACACCATTGATGGGTCGAGAAAACCACATTCCAGATGAGGACGTCGCTATCTAACCACTTGGTCGGAGTCACAAAGTAATTCATGAATCATTTCTTCTGTTAAATTATAACATTCCTGCGTAATGCTATCTGGTTTTTAATGTTTCTTTAGCTGATTTTATCATTAGTGATGAAATTTTGACTTGAAATCCCTTAAATCTGCATGAACTCAGTATTTATTTATTTAATTTTATTATTCCCTTGCGTTCCGAGTGGAACATTGGAGGGCTTCAACAATACATCTCCAATTTGTTCCGTTTTCTACCGCCCTCTTCAGATGGTTCCACGATTGACCACAATCTCTCATCTCCTCTTTCAACTCACATGATCTCCTCCATGTCACCCTTACACTGACGACACACTTGTCGCTTCCATTGGGATTCTACTCAAACACTGGCCTGCATTCCACGCGATGTCATTCGACGGCTTCCTCAATGTATGGTCAATCCATCTCCACCTTCTTCTACATATTTGTTGAGCGATCGGCTCTTACCTGTTAGTTTGTTCCCAGCCAGTCAGAGTTTCTTGTTGCTTATTCTTTCTGGCCATTTGATCTTCAGCATGCAGACGGCGAAGGCAGCTGTTGATGGAGGTTTGCAACCTATTGGAAATCCTTTCCATGACACGCTGGCCAAGTTTCTGACCAGTACAGAAGAACTGACAGAATTCACATTGGTGCTGAAAATGTAAATCTTGTTCCGTATGCTGAGTGCGGAAGATTTCCAAAGTGGTTTCAGGTTGGTGAAGGTGTATTTCGCTTTTCCGATTCTGACTGGCTTTGACATCTTCGTCCGTTCCACTGGCCTGTAGTTGAAACGATGCATCCCAGATAAGTGAAGGAGCCAACCACTGTTAAATCTCTCCCGTTGATGGTGTTTGGTGCTGGTCGTTTTCGCTCTCCGTTGGTTATCTTCATCACCTCCGCCTTCTCTCTGTGTTTACCTGTAGTCCTGTTTTTGCTGCCTCTTCAACCAGTTTGTTGATTTTCGCCTGCCTTCAAGTCTTCGAGTCTGTGTGACATTAGACATATATCATCTGAGAAATCCAGATCTTCTAGAGTTTTCTTATCGGTCGTCCAGCGTATACGTAGTCTCCAATAATCTGACTCAATATATGGAATTAAATTTGTCTAAATTCTGATTAAATGTTAAGAGGTAAACAATTAAGCTATCTGGACTAGTCTTGGTCAAAGTTATGTACCAGTAAGTAGTGAGTAAGATTGATAGAGAGGAATAAAAAGTATTGAAAGAGGCAGGTGAACAATTTATACACTTGAAGTGTTATTATTCTAGTTGTGAGAGTGACTAGTGACTTATTAGTGAACATAATAAGGAAATTTAACTGTCTATCATTGTTTTTCATATGAATTTTAAGTAGAGGTGGTGTTATTTTCTAAAATTTTTACTAGATATGGTTACTAGTCTCATGCTAGTCAAGGTTTATGAGAGTTTGTGGCCCGAAAATCGAACGTAGACCACTGATACACCTGTAATGAATGTAAGCTCAAAGTTGGACATATCTAAAGTGGAAATGTGGGACAGTGATAACACTGAGTAATTACGTAATCCCATAAGAGTTTAAAACAGGTGGAAATGTTAATTACCCGTTCCATTAATGTAGGCAAATAATCCAAAATCTTTAGAATCGAATATTCTCATTTGAAATGCGATCAGATTGTCTAGAGGACGAAAGTAAGGATGGAAGGAAGAAAATGAGAACAAAACATGAAATCAATACAATAACAATAACAACTAATGATATGAGGAGTAATGCGGAAAAGCAAAAGTTTGATATAAAAAACAAACAAATACAAGAAATTACATGATGGTATATATGCATACTACTGAATAACTGAAATAAGTAGTTGGATTTCACTCACACACCAAACAGTAGTGCTTACTAGCCAGTCAGATCGAAAATGATTTAAACATTGGACATCCGTTTTGTTAGTTTGAAGCAGAGCTTATTAGCTGTGTGTCAGGTTAGAATCAGTCAACAGAGGCAAACCATTACAAGCCACCGGATTTATGGTTACCTGGCCAGCGGCGCGAACTCGTAATACACAATTCGCACAGAACGAATGTTTTGGCACCGAATTCATCAGCAGAGTACCCGGGTTAACCCAGCTGACAAAGCTGAATGAGACCAGATCATCTGAATTTGGACTAGATTATTATTGTTGTTTCCTTTAATTCCTAGAGGAACATAGGGCTTCAGCCGTGCGTCTCCATTGCGTGCAGTTCTCTGCTAGAGCCTTCACCTGGCTCTAAGTCTGCCCACACGCTTTCATCCCCTCCTCCATGTCACCCTTGCACTGACGACCAACTCACCGATTCACTTTCGGGTTCCACTCGAGCAATGGCTTGTCTAGTGATGTCACTTGATGCTTTGTTTCCTCAGGGTATGGCCGATCCACCTACCTCCATTTCTTCCTGCCTATTTGTTTCACAATCGATTCCTGCTCGGTTGGTTCACTCCCAGGGATCCCTCCCTGTTGCTGATCTTTTCTGGCCGACCATCCGATCTTGAGTATTGAGCGAAGACATTTGTTAATGAAGGTCTGTAGTTTATTTGAGATGCTCTTCATGACGCGCAGTGCAAGTCTCTGATCCGTATAGTGAGTAGCACTGACTGACTTCACATTGGAGTTGAAAATCCGGATCTTATTCTGATTTTGATGCTGAGTGCTGTTGACCTCCACACAGGCTTGAGATTAGTGAAAGCTTGTCTTGCTTTTCCGATTCTCGCTTTGATATCCTCGTCAGTTCCGCCTGTAGTTGAAACGATGCTTCCAAGGTGGGTAGTTAAAAGAGGTTGTTCCTTTCAGGTTCCTTCCACTTATGTTGATTGTTTTCTGTTGTTGCTGCTGTTGCTGTTGGTGTTGGTCAGGAATCTTCATCATCACCTCTGTTTTCTCTATGTTCACTTGAAGGCCTATGTTTTCTGGGTGCTCCTTCTGCCAGCTTGTTGGTTTTCACTTGCATATCCTCCAGTTTGTGAAAAATCAGACATATATCATGGGCGAAGTCCAGATCCTCTAAGTTTCTTGTGTGAGTCCATTTTATGCCTGTTTCCTTATTGCCCGCTGTAAGTCGCATTTGACAATACATTAAAATCAAATCTTCAATTCAAATATTAATTCTTTATTTCTTCTAATTTACATGGTCCTAGGTGAAAACTCATCATGGTTTCATTTGGGGAGCTCAGTTATTCGGATCACTATGTGTGATCTGCAAGATTTGTGTTGTACTCTGTTTTCGAATGTCTTATGTTCAGTGATGTTGGATCTGTGTAATAGTGGTGTAACGACAGAAGACAAGAGCCAGGCAACAGATTGCTTATTGAGAAAATCAACAGATATAGATTTCTATGCATAAAAAGTCTTTTTTAACAGCAGCTAATATCGTAATAATTGAGAATGTGAAGCCAATATCTCCTTCTAAGCCTTTCGAACATACGAAAAAAGATGTCACATCCCACTGTATTTACCAATTTGAATGTGAGCGTGGACACACATACACAGGTAGGGAGGACTCATCGATCCCTACCAGTAAGGGCTGGCTTCAGAGCATATCGCCTGAATGGCTCTGGAAGCAAATGGAATCTTCAGAACCCGTTAAAGGTGAGAACAGGAGACCTAGCTCTTCTATTGCGAAACATATTACAGAGGAGACAAAACATAAAATTAATGTTGACAGATCTTTTAAACCTATCTATAAAACGTGTTTGGGGCGTATCCTAAAGTTTGTGGAAGCCCTGTGCGTCGGTGGCACAGTGGTTAGGACTCTCGCCGACCATGCACATGGTCCAGGGTTCGATCCCCTGCCGGCGCACGCCTGAATTTGGGCAACCGATATCCATGCTGAAAATTCCATACTTGTGCTGAAAATACGGTGTGGAATCAAGCTGTAAATCAAAAAAAAAAAAATAAAAAATAAAAAAAATAGTTGGCAATTAGAAAGTTTAAACCACCTTTATGAGTTCAAAAACAATTCGTCATCGAACTAAACCTACTTGATACTAGCAAGGGTAGATGCACTATTACCTGTTATTTGGTTTAGTGGTCTTCATTGTTATTTTGACCTTCAATATGTCCTTTTAACTTGACCTAACTTGTCTGTTTTCTTACCTCTTAACTCTTTAGTAATTTCATGTATATTTTTATGACAAGTCCATGTTTGATGGATCAGATTGTTCGAAATGTGTTGCGCAAATACATTACACACACGATTCAGACAAATTACGTTTTATTATTGCTTTATCTAACAACGAAGTTATAAGGGATAATTGGAGTTTATTATTCATAATGAACACTGTCCAGGATTCAGTGAAAAAAGGTATGCTCCGAATAAGTGCCTTAAAGTAAACCTTTACTGACAATTTCTAACTTTAACGCCTAACAATATCTCCTCATCGCAAACGACAACAATCTTGACACTACTGTTTCGTGGGGAACAGCAGAGAAGAAATACCTTATGATGGTCTCCGTAAGAAATCGATATCCCCTAAACTTTATGAAACGATTTATGAGCATTATTATTCCCTTAGGTACGCAACATAGATGGCTGTGAAATAGAAACCAAATCAAATACCTAGGCGTCATTCTATTTGCTGATCTTTCCTACTCGTCTCACATCTTGGCGATTTCTAAGAAAATATTCCGTCTCACCTTCTACATCAAGAAGTTAAAACATTCTGGTATAACCCAACCCTTACTCTTACAATTCGTTAATTCTCGCATTCTGCCTATTATTCTCTATTGTTCCCCCTTAGTTTTTCCCGGACTACTGAAGAAAGACTATAACATATTACACAGGATGTTAAAGGTTGTCAGCAGGGTAAGCAACGTGCCACTTAACCAGCTTGTTAATATTCTGTTTGACAGACACATGGACTCATGTGAAAAATGGGCTAAATCCATTTTATCTAACTCACACCATCCTCTTCACTCACAACTCTCCCCTTGCATCTCATCGGACAGAACCAGAAGCCTATACAGAAAACTATATGCTCGCACTAGCAAGTACAAAACTCAACCATACCCTACTTAGCTGGTGTTCTGTGCGATAAAGAAAGCATTAGGCTGACACCTATAATTCATTAAATAGTAGTAGTACAACGGGATCTCGTCTTTCCAACTCATATAATTTATGGGTACAACATTTTCTTTCTTTCTTTTCCTTTTCTCTCTCTTTTTTCTTTTTTTTTCCGTTATGTGTTGCTTTGTTTCTTTCTCTCGCTTACGCCAGTAAATATGACAGCTCCCTCTTTTCTAACACCTTCAAACAATGTTTCAACTTTGGCTTTTGCTACGGACATGCCAACATGTTGTTGTAATAATGAACTGAGATTTCCTTAATCTATGTAGAATTCTATTTATTGATAATGTACTAACTGGATGCAATACTGTAGTAAAAATGCTGAGAATTCCATTCTGTATCACAAGTGCTGTTTTCGAATAAAGCAAATTATTATTATTACTTAGGTTCCGAGTTGAGCATAAGGCCCCACAAGCCAATCTCCACTACATTCTACTTTCCAATGTCCTCTTCACCTGGGTCCACCATTGACTACAATCTCTCATCTCCTCCTCCTACTCACCACGTGATCTCCTCTTTGGCACCCTCGCACCGACGACCCACTTGTTGCTTCTCATCAGGATTCTACTCGAGTGTCTGGCGTCTTTAACACAATGGAATAACAAAATAACTATCAAAATTCAATTCAATTCTTATGAATACTGAAAAAGTTGAAAAATACAAGAAAAAATACAAGACCCACTTGTCGCTTCTCATTGGTAATATACTCGAGTGCAGTTCACTTCTTATGAATACCGAAACATTTAAAAAAGTACAAGAGAGCCGACAGAAGTGCGGTATAAAAAAATATCAGCCAACTTACTTAATTCTCTAGCTGTCATATTTGGTCTAATTAGATAGCTTAACACTTGTAACCGACTAGTCTCTTCATTCATAACAAATACTTGTAAACAATTCCCTTGATTCGGATTCACACAAGACACTTGTCCAAGTGAATAAGGCATAGAAGTTGACCATGTATTAGTTGGGTGTGTTACCATTGGCGATTGTGCAATCCATGGACGCCATCTTGATGATGAAGTTGATGATGAGGTTAACAATGAAGCACACGGGGGATAAGAATGATCTTCATTCAATGTTAAATGAGATATTGATTGTGGTTTTGTAAGATGTGATAGCTGGTTAGGTCCATTGGTGGTTATCTTTGGCTCGATTGTCAATGTTTTACCATTATGTAATACTGTCGGTGATGGTGCTTTTATCAAGTCATTTAGATTTCCAATAGTATTGATTGTTTTTGCTATATTTACACCGGTAATTGTTTTCCGCCGACGTGGTGGTATAATAATTCGACGTCTTGTGAATTCTTTAGTTGATTGAAATATACCGGGAGTTGTATTCCCATCTACAGATGGCTGATGTTTGCCATTGTTATGATGATGATGTGGAGATAATTTTGAAAAACCGGAGTATTTTGAACCAACAGCATCATGCAGTGGGTCATCCTGAGTCTAAAATATTAATAGTTTGTTTGTTAATTGTTATCAGAAAATGTTTATTGAATTGTTAGGTATGAAGTTTACACAAAAGAGATGTTTACGATCTCTTTCTCACCTTAGGTGGCATAATAAGGTAAGTAACGTTGACGTTAGGCGAAGAGTGTTGGGCAAAGAGGGAAAATCAATCGGAGAGACTATAAAGTTACACAGATCGAGATGGTTAGGTCACGCGCTGCGCATGCCTAACCATCGCCTCCCCCAACGGACGGGCATTACTAGCTGATATAGGTGCAGGTCGGAAAAGAGTAAGTGGTGGCCAAACAAAAACATGGCATCAATCCATGAAATCCTTGACAGTTAAACTGAGTCAGGTAGGGAGATGCAGACTTCCGGGTTGGGGCCCACCCTCGGGACTCTAAGAATCAATGGCTGGAGACAATAGGTGACATGGCTCAAAATCGTTGTATGTGGCGCAGATGTATTCAGTCTCTGTAACCTTTCATATTCCTTTCTACCATTACCCATTCTGTTTCACTCTTATACTTGTCAAAACTCTATTGATTCTCTTCTCTCATTTTCCTGTCTACCTTTGTGTGCTATTTGGAACGTGGTAACTCGAACTGGTGCACTTCGGTGCCAAGTTCTATGTTGAATCCAGACAGACAGACAAAAGAGTCTTGAAATAACTTTTAAGTATTGGTTTTTTAGGGATTTTGTTCGACTGGTTGGAGGATATCATCATGAGCTGACATCAGTTAGAGAACCATTGAAAAACCTGCAAGGAGTACTGGATAGTGGGAAGCTGTGACCAGTAGGATACAGCAGGTTGAAGATGAGGCAGTAAGTCATCGAAGAAGACATTGAGAAGTGGTCGCACAATGCAATGAATTGGAAGAATTTGGAATTCATTGACTGGCCATTGGATCAGCTCCAAGTGGCTGCTTAGTGGTCTGCGAGTCCGCCGGCTTTGTAACCAGAAGGTCCTGGGTTCGAACCCCTTCCGGTGGGTGCGTACTGCTGAAAAGTCCCAAACTAGGCTGACGAAACAGCTGTCCAGTACTTCAGCGTGGTTTTTCGATGGTTCTCTAGGTGATTTAAGTTCATGATGAAATCCTCCAACCAATCTTGAAATAACTAAGATTTCATACATTTATTCCCCTTAATGAATTTGAACAAAGCAAGAATTACAGTTTTAGCAGAATAAAATGGTTCCATCTTTTACTTCGTTGCCTTCTCATCAGCTGCTTACAGGGCAAAGACATTATTAAATGTATCTACAAAAACAATTTTAACATACTTGCAGAGTTCATTTTAAACAAAAATCAATCGATCAATATATGTATACACTAATAATATATATATGCCATAATAAACACTATTCCGAACAATAATAATAATCATACACAATCGAAAATTATCAGCATTTTGCACTAGGATGAAAGAGAAATGAAAAATATCCAGTTACCAGGGCAAAGAAAGACTGATAACCGCTTCTTTCTGGTCGCATAAACCAGGTCTCAGGTGCTTGATGGAAATGGCTTCAGCAAACTTAAGGAGAATGGAACTCTTTTACCTATTGATAATTTTGAACGACTTTTCGACGTCCACCTCATGACCCATGTCGAGGAGGTGCCAGGCGATGGTACTGTTTAAAGCATTTGTTCCCTTTAGACATAAGCTTTACGGGCTAAAACCGAGATAAAATAGGTTTCACGCTTTGACTGTTGGGGACAGTCAGTTTTAACGAGATCTGATTGGAGGCAAAGTTTCAAGCCTGGTCCTAAGCAACCAATCGCAACTAGCTTAGCTGAACTGCCTGACTGATTGAATTTCTACATGGGACTTAGCTCAGAAGTGCAGTAGTTCAAGTTACAACACTCTATGTAGAAGAGAAAGTCATAGGAAACTAGGAACAGAAACTAAAAAACAACCTTAATGAGTTGCAATATATGGAAGAAAGAATGGTTACATGGAAATGCATGAGGGAGTATTGGATATAGGAGGTCATAAAGCATGGATGCATCTTCGTCACTGAGAACTATTCTGAGCCATGTCACCGATAGTTTCATGCCATTGATTCTTAGTGTGCTAACGACCCTGACTACGCAGTCTACACCTCCACCAACGGTCAAGGACTTCATGAATTGATACCAGATTTTAGTTAGGGCACCTCTAAAGCTTGACAGTCCTATCGACAGACTTTCCCTATTTACTACCCTAACACTCTACACCTTTCCTCAATATTTCTAAGCCAAACAAAGTTTAACAAGATGAAAGTACCGAACATCATGTCATGAGGCTGTATCATACAGGTTCAGATTCGTTTAGCAGCGCCATAGATCGATATCTGGATGATACGGGGAACTACATAAACACCTTAACATCTTTCATTGGACACTAGTCAGTCACCTAGGTAGGGGTGACGAAAAATACTCATCCATAACACTTACAATCGGCGGATGTTAATTCTTTTTTTTTCAAGTCTTACTATTAAAGGGATTTTCTTGATTGGTTAGAGGATTTCATCATGAGCTGATATCAGTTAGACAACCACTGGGAAACCCTTCAGAGAGTACTGGACAGCTGGTTCATCCTAGTTTGATACTCTTTATTGGTAGGCACCCACCGCGAGGGGTTCAAACCCAGGACCTTCTGGTTACAAGGCGAGCTTGGAGACTATTATCATTCCTTTGTGTTTAAATGTATACTACTTATTACTAGTTAGTAGTGTAAGTATATACATATATATTTGTTAACTATGTTTTCACTCCGTAACCATCACTGTTGATTGCTATTGAAGTTTATCTCATTTAAGGAATTAGTATTCTATAGTAATTATCTTAGAATACTTAGATGATATGTGCTTTTGAATGCTTTGTTTATATTCCACTTAGCACATTTAAGTACATTTACAAATTTAGCTGCTTCTGTGGAGAAAACTATATACGGCGAAATACTAGACAGCTCAACAGACGCATCATTACTGAGCATCTACCTTCATGATTCGGGAGAGGCGAAGTGAAATCTAGACGAAGTTCTATTTTGTCTCATTCGATTGGTGGTGGTGGTCACCGAGTGGACAGAAATAGTGCCTTCACAGTTATCTGTTGCATTCTATCGAACCATTGAAACGGAATTTGAACCCGCCGTTTACACATAGCCGAAGCTATGGGAATTAATTCGAGAGAACAATCCTAGTCTTTGCATACAACTAAAGAAGTTTGTTATACCTTTGTCTCTGCCTTGCTTGACTAGTTAAATTCTAATCAAAACCCTCCCACCCTTTCTTATTTTCCATTTCCTTCGTACTTTTACGATATTGATTTAAACTGTGATAATACGTCCACTATACCTTTGGTATTACGTAACTCTTAATCTCATCCATCATAATGGAGTTACGCTGTACCACAGTGCTCAAATTTTTGGTAGCAGTGTTTAGTTTTACAGGATGGGGTTGCTAGCCTCATACCTAACCTCCCCTGTTTACCGGCTTTATTTCCAGTTTAGCGAGGTAAATTAATGCGGGGGATGGGGATCGAACCTCGGACCATGTGCACGGTAAGCGAGATTCCATCCTATTGCAGCACCAACGCACTGGCACAGGCATTAGAAGAAATCTACACTGGACTCATATATATATATATATGCCCTGAGTTGGTAGAAGTTAGAATTCGATGGGCCAATGAATTCCATTCCTTTGGTCAACCTCATAACTTGTAGGTCGTGGATCCTCCCATCCCCATTGAAGTGACTCACGCATACTCCTAAAGAGTCACAAACCAGGCTGACGAAACAGCTGTCAATTAATCACTCTGCACATTTCAGAGGTTCTCTCCCTAAATTCACTCTGCGATCTAACTTGAACTCGCTGGTTAATATTCGATGCTGACATCCATCGGTTACAACTTCTCATGTGTTTGAGGACTTAGATAACTTCAAACTTCAATGAAAAGTAAGTTTAAATCATTTATCGAAACTTACAAAGCACTGTGATTCTTGTTTATGCAATAGAAGTGGTGAAATATACTTTGAAGGTTTCTTCTTCAAATATTCGCTATTCCCCAGGGGATTAGATTCATTACATGAGGTATTCAATAGATTGTCATTCCATATCCAATAGAGTGTACCGAATAAATCATTCAGTCCTGTAGCTTGATCGTTCATCTGTGGATTATTGAACACTCCATCAAGATAGTCAGCTTGTAGTGCAGATGGACAAATCAAGAAAGATTGATTTAGATGTTGATGGTGATGGTGATGTTGATCCAGGGGCGTTGTTGAACTGTTTCCATGTGGATTTGGTTCACTGGCATTTGAAATTAATGGGGTGAGTAGTAGACCAGATCGAGCAAATACCCAAGCATAGTAAGCATATAGATCTAAGTATATAATTCATTTTGAAAAAAATCAATAAAATATTGATCAATTAAGTAGTAATGATAATGATACAATACAGATGAGTCGGGTACGTAGGGATTTGGTTAAATTACTCTTCGCCTTGTAGATGACTTTGAAGGCGGAGGCTGCAGAGATCATTGGGTGATCATTATCGACCAGATGTTCAATGATCGCGCTTCTTATTGCTCCACTTCCACCTATTCGTAACCATGCAGGATAGTGTTCTTGCACCGTCTTGGACAAAACTCGTGTCGTTTACAGCTGGGTACCCATTGGTCGAAAACGAAATCTGATCCAGGCGCTTGCCACTCGTATTCGGCGCATATGTAGCCCTGATACTGTGGAAGATGAGTTATACATCTTGAGGAAAATCCTAATAGAAAATGGATTTCCACCACGTTTTATAGATAAGAATATACATTGAAATCCTAAGAAACGTGACTTATCAACCGTACCCAAGAAAATACTTTACATGAGGTTGGAATTCAAAGGGGACTTGGCTTCCGATATCATAAAACGAAGGATATCACAGTCCCTGAAAAGAACATTCCCTGCTGCATCCCTGAGAATAGCCTTTACTAGTCGACCATTGCTGTTCAATAACCTGAAGGACAAGATCCCGCTGTTGACCAACTCTATGTGGGTGTTTATCAATTCACCTGCTCGTATGGAACTAGGTATATCGGTCTTTCGACACGAGTTTTGTCCAAGAGGGTGCAAGAACACTATCCTGCATGGTTACGAATAGGTGGAAGTGGAGCAATAAGAAGCGCGATCATTGAACATCTGGTCGATAATGATCACCCAATGATCTCTGCAGCCTCCGCCTTCAAAGTCATCTACAAGGCAAAGAGTAATTTACCCAAATGATACAATACTTGGATGATCCGATGATATGAGATGGTTGGAGGGAATCGGCCACGGGAAGCCTTGCTTGACCTAGGGGTTTCGTGCTAGTTGGCGCTTAGCAGTCAGAAAGGAGTGTATCTGCAACCTTGAAGGAACAACTCATGTCCCTTCAACCATCATCAAATCAAGGTGCACCGTGATGGCAAGCTGCCTAGTGGCATGGTGGTCACATTGCAAACCTGACTGATAGAATTCAGTCTGCACCGAAGGAAGGACTAGGCACATCGCACTAGTTACTGGTGTCCCATCAAAGTACTCGGATGATCTGTTTAATGTCATATAAACTACATGCGAAAATCAATAACTTGGTTCTAGGAAGACAGAGAAGGACAGGATTTCAAGTGAACATGAGGAAGACAAAAGTGTCGAAGATACCTTACCACCAGACAGGATAAGCATCAGTTAATATCTACGGGTGGTAGACTGGGTCATGTGTCAGACTGTGCTTGAGAGTGAGAAGGCAGGAATACGTTGGACTGCCCGATAAGAAAATTCTACAAGATCTGGATTCCGCGCTTAGATGATTTATATCTAATGTCACACAAACAATTAGACTTGCTAGCAGGCGAAAACCAACACACTATCTGAAGAAGCTGGTAGGCAGCGAAGACAGGAGTCCAGGTGGATATCGAGAAGACGGAGATGATGAAGATAACCAGTAACCACCAACAGCAGCGGTAACAACAACCAGCACCAGTCACCATCAATGGGAGAGATTTGACAGAGTTTACTTCCTTCACTCGTCTGGTTGGCAAGAAAGCACGATTTCAACTACAGGCACACGGCATGGATGAATATGTCAAAGTAGACCAGGAACGCCTTCATCAACTTAAGACCAGTTTAGAAATCTTCTGCATTCCGTGTCATAAAGAACAAGATTCGTATTTTCAACACAAATGTAAAGTCATTGATTCAGTCACTTGTTCTATATGGGTCAGAAACTTGGCGTGCGTGTCAGTCACGAAAAGGATTCCCAACAGGCTAATGCAGACTGTTATCAATAGCTGCCACCTTCGCTGGATGGATCCGCTCTGGAGATCAAATGACAAGCCTGCCGGCCAGAAAGAATTAGCAACAAGAAACTTTCGCTGGGAACAAACCAACCAAGAGCCGATTGCTCAACAAATATGTAGGAGAGAATGGAAATGGTCCAGGTATACACCACTGAGGAAGTCGTCAAATAATATCGTGCTCAAGGAAGACCACCACTCCGGTGGAATCCCAATGGGATACACCGAGTGGTTCGTCGGTACGAGAGTGAGATGGAGGAGATCATGTGAGTTGGTGGAGGAGAAGATAAGAGATTATGGGCAGTCGTGTGTCTAGCTAGCTGAAGAGAACGGCAGTAAACAGAACAAAGTGGAGATGTGTCGTTGAAGCCCTCCCTATTTGCCTCTCGGAACCCAAGGGAATAATAATAATAATAATCACAATAATAATAATGCGTCATTTTACTTGCCTTCTGTATTCAATGAGTTGGCATCAAATTCTTGATCAGATTTTACGTTGTATATCTAATTATGTTTCAAATTGTATTTCATTGTATTTATTTCCATGCATGTGGAGTAAACAAAGAAAGTGGGGAAAACAGATCAAAATAATAAAAGCAGAGATCAGAGAAACACGGTTATACCAATAAAATCTACTGAACACCACATAAATATTACATAACCTTAATTCTGCTCATCTTTAACTATAACTATATTTTGAGGAAACTAAAACCTGTTCATATCAGTCGAAAGCAGATTTGACGAATTACTCTATTCAGCTTTTTCCGTCATTTTATTGGATAAATTTCAACTCACGCCACTTCAACCTTATGCACTCAGTCATATTGTAACAACAGAAGACAAGGGCCAGGCAACAGATCGTTTATTGAGGAAATCAACAGATATTTATAGATTTTCATATACATTATTATAGATTATTGTAAGCAAACAAACACAGTCTTCTGATTGGTGGTTTCTCGTTGAACATTAGTCTTTCATCTCTTTGTGGCCATTTATTGAAGTTCAGATTATCGATCTGCAAATTGTATCCGCCTACGCAAAGTCTGTCGTGATTGCTTGTTGAGTTAGGGTTTGTTCTTATTTTTCTCATGACCGATATTGGGAACGTAAATCCAGACGTGGCGTCGGTGGCATAGACGTTAGGGCGCTGGCCGACCGTACCCATGGTCCACGTTTCGATCCCCGGCTGGCGCACTCCTTTACCTCTCTAAGCCAGAAGTAATGCTGGTGAAGAGGGAAAGTTGGGCATGAGGCAAGCAACCCCATCCTGTAAAAATAAACACTGCTATAGGAACTTCAAGCCATTAGCTCGAAGCCCTATGTTCCACTGAGGAACGTGAAGGAAATAAAGATTGACGTAAATTACTGTTCACCACTTTTGGCTAGCAGCCAGCTCGCACCACAATATTACTTAATTAGTAGTGTGTATATATTTGATGCTTTTTTATTCCTTTACTTCCCCGGTGGAACATAGGGCTTCAAGTTAGAGGCCTGAAGTTTTAGTAGCAGTGATTTTCTTTCTACGGGGTGAGGTTACTAGCCTTACGCCTAACCTTCTCTCTTTACCAGTTTTATTACTGGATTAGCGAGGTTTGGTAGAACGCCTCCAGGAGACAGAACCTCTAACCACCTTCGCGGTTGGCAAGCATTCTACCTCTGTGCCACCAACGCACTTGAGAGATCACTGAAAGTCAGAGAGAATTGAACAGTTGTTTCGTCCTAGTTTGGGACTCTTCAGAAGTATACACTCACAGCTGCACCAAGAATCGAGTTCAGACAGGATCATTTAGTCATTTGGGTGGGGATAGAATGACCAGTAAATTCGAAATTGTTGTTTTACTTAAGACAGTCCATGGTGAAGTTAAAGTATCTTAGGCAGTGCCAAGGTCTGTCAAAAGTTGACCCTCAAGAACTAATCAAATTCAAGGAAGGCTATGGAAGGTCACTCCAAACCATATCATGCCTGTCTTTTTGGATTTGCCGAGGATAGATACTGTAGTCTGCTTATATTTTAAGTAATGTTGGGTAGAGTTATGGTTTTTAAGATTAAAGTTACGCTCTAGGGTTAAGGTTAGGACCCGGGTCCAGGAAAACAGTCAGAGTTAGGTGTAGGTTAAAGAAAAGTGTCAGAAACATCAATGGATCTGAAAGTACCATGATCTATAGTCATCTGAATGAATACATCTGTCGCGCATGGTATGATTTCTCTTTAGGTTATCTGAGTAGTATAACTGGAAGACATTCCTACAACAGTTAAGCGACAATAATCTAGAGTAATATCAAGTGTGCAATGTTTTTTGATGCATTTTTCAACAATTATGCGACTTTTTTGCATCTGAATTCTTATTAGTTGTTCAATGGAACAATGTGATTTCGATTAAGATAGTTTAACTTCGCTCAGACCACTATTGTCTTCTGATTTCTGCATGGCCTCATGACAGAAGAAGGTATTTGAGGGAGAACAGTAGTATTCAGTCTTCAAGTAAGTTAATTAGTGCATTTCAGAGTCAAACTCGAATCCCAGTCTTATTAGCAACAGTTATGTAACAGATTTGGCGACATTTTACTGGATTGCATATATTATGAGGAAACCATCAAGATACATTGAACAAAAGGTTTTTTAGTGGAACAATATTAAACACTCACTGCGAAATAGTAGATTACGTCAAGCAGGGATAGAACTCAATGCCTAGCGGTGTGATAGCTGCTCGATCACCACAATTAGATAACACGTCGACCTTTACACTCAAAAATCCGGAGCGTAGTTTATTGTCATTGTTCTGGCGTAACAACAGACTTAATGGGCCTGGCCGAACACATGGTCCAGTCCAGACACTAAAAGGAATACGTAAGCTTATCCAGCCACGTGTCGGATAAGGAATGTACCGTTGCAAATATGGACAGGATTCAGACTTAGAGGAGTTCAGACTTGATCCCTCAGATGGTAGCTTCGCACCATTGGCCTTTCGACCAGGCACATATACCAATTATCTGAACCTGCGGTTCCTCTCATACCAAAAACGGGATTAACATAGCAATGGCTAGATTGTACTTCACTGATTACTGCACTCATAACTTGGGCAAAGCCAACCTGCCTCACGACTGTCTAAACCCCCAGCTCACGTTCCCTATTATTGCGTGAACAATCCAACGCTTGGTGAATTCTGTTTCACTATGATAGGAAAAGACGACATTGAAAGACTAAAAGGTGGCAATCAATAACATGTTTGCTGTGTACACCTAATTTTGACTAAAATCTTAAAACAACTATTTTAAGGAGTTATTGCGCGCTGGTTTCCTATTGGCTGTTAGCACTTTATATTTATCACTGAATTGCTTCATTTTCAAGGTCATTTCAACTGTATACATGCAGAGTATCTGTCTAACATTTAGCCTGTTGCTTGAGACAGTAAATGCACTCTTATCGACGTTCAGTCTTTTCTTATGTCTTTGCGTGTCAGAGGTGTTATTGTTGTTTTGTTGTTGACCTAGCCAAGTTAAACTTTAAGCACCACTAACTACCAAATGGAGTTCGTCTGCACCAAAGACCTGGAAACGCTCACTGATCAAGTCAGGGAAACCTGGCGAATACTGTTGTCATAATCAGTAAAATACGCTCATGGAAGTGTTACGCTACTACATGGGATATCTGGCAAGTTTCAGCACACTTTTGGGAAAGATTAAGTTACTCTTTAAGCCAAGGACAAGTTAGGGTTAGGTTATTCCAATAAAGGCGACATTAGGGTTGGTTCGAGTTAGATTTCAGTTGGTTTAGGATATTCTCGCGTTAGGGTTAGGTTCAGGAAACATTGGGGTTATTGTTAGGGTTAGAAGACCTAAATAATTACATGCATAGAATGTGGTTAAATTACTCTGTTGATATAAGAATAGAACTTGTGTACTGTGGTGGTAGAGTATAATTCCATTGTGGGTAACATTTATTTTGATAAAGTCTCACAGTGTTATACAGTAAGTAATATTTACTGATGACCACGTTTTGAGCACAATCTATTGCTCAGTAAATATTACTGTATTACACTACGAGACTTTATCCAAATACATTTTACCCACAATGGAATTATACTCTGTTGATACTCCGACCTAAAACTGACAGCTATTTTTATCAAATGTGAGAGGATGGTATCCTCTGTAACACTTTTAAACAGTTTTTATGCATTATTTCATAAATATATGTATTGCATATACAAAAATGCCTCCTTCACGTGATTGGTGTGTTAAAGGTAATTCGCTGATTAGTAGTTAGTGGTGCATAAAGTTTAACTTTGCCTTTGACGTGCGATCAGGATAGATTGGCCAGCGTATTAAGTTAGTATTCGCTTATAGTCTACGAGGTCGCAGTTCCGGTCATGAAAATGTTCTACTATTTACATTAATGGGTCCAAGTTTCCTCTGGAGCATTATTTAACTTTCACACAACTAGATTCAACTGAGGAGGCCAAAATATTACGAAACACACTTTCTTATCACCAAAATACGACATTTATTACCCTCCCCCACACCACCGCATAAGAAGGAACATATTGAAAACATGACCTTCAATAAAGGCTATACAGTCAACTGATTGGTGCTAATGTATCAGTAAAAACTTAAATCCACCAATCAGTGAACGCCTAGGTGACCTTTATGAGTGTATTCATCCTATTGGTAGTCTATACAATGTGTGTAATAATAATGTAATTATAATAGGTGACTTACATTTTTACGTATAGAATTAAATATGCAGACAAGGTAATTCATTTTACGATTAACTGAATAAGTGTTCTCCAAACGTGAATATGCACTGGTAACATATTGTATCAAGGATTCTTTCGGCGGTGCAACGGACGCCTAGTTTTATACGTTATTGTAAAAAAGAAAGGGAGATCAAAGTAAACTGGTTAATCAATACTGTAATAATTTGAAAAAATTGAATTCGTGTAGTATATTGACAATATCTCAATAGAATTTGAACAAATTTCAACATTTATAATAAAGGTTGTTTTTTGTATTTTCCAATGAATGAAAAAGGGCAAAACGATGTTGCTGCTGTTTTTACTGACGTTTCGCTTTTTAATGCTGCTGCTAATAGCTCTATCAAAGTATTATTATAATCAGAATTTACAAAATCCACTCAGCTTATGTTATGCAACAACTTAATCACCGTTCCTCAATATGGGATCATTTTTACGCTGTTGTCAAGTTGGCCAATTGGTAAAGATAACAAACCAGGTGTAGATTATTGTTGGATTTGATAAGTGTGTGAAATTATAAAACAGCGTTTGTTTACATAATGGAATTGTTTATCACATTCGTGTTGATTTTGTCGTTTCATGGGAAGTGGGGTAGGGTGTTGTAACCAGGTGAAACTCTGTTCCAGTCCATCATTCCTATTCAGACAATTTGGATTTCATTTAATATGAAGTGCTTCTGATGATATTAGACGTTCTTTGTGACTTTTGAAATTTTTCTGGATGATGATTTCAATATTGTCAAAATCAATTTTA